GTACACAGTAAATAAAATGCAAATACAATTAAAGTAAAATACCTTCCCTATACCTCAACAGAGGGGATTTGGTGGCTTTACACTGCTTATGTTTGTAGAAGGTCAGAAATTAATGATTCTTTGGCACTGTCTGAAAAGATTCAACATGTTTACCTTTCTGGCAAATCACAGCACTCTGATCTATACAGGAAACAGATTTTCTATGTGCTGGTCCAAACTCACACAAATAATTTTTTTGCATGCAACTTAAAAAATGAGCAATGCACCCTGCCTTTCAATGCCCAAGTCATCCTTTTCCCACAATAAGACAAAACATAGAACACACATCATTCACAATAGCCCAGAGGTTACCAGGAACTCAAATGCCAAAGCAGCAGAGTACCAGCTCTTAAAATCTTGAAATCAGCTCTCTCATCAGCTTGGAATGCAAGATGATAAAATATTTTAGGAATACATAAAGACAAATGGACAAAACTGCGCTGAAAATACAGCAGGGATGTGTGCTCATGTAAGAAGTTTTCCCGGAGCTATGGAATAAAATCAGAATATAGTCAACACGGTGGAAATATTCACATAGGTGGATACTTCATTCCACAAAATTCAATTTTCTGGTATAGAAAACTACTTATGGAGTTTAATCAAACAACTTCACAGTTCTCTTCATTATAAGACAATAGATTAATAGAAAATCCTGAAGCAAGTGGCTGTGCAACTAGAAGCAGGGCTGTCTTAAAGACACTTACCTGACTCCTCTCAGAAATTTTATTCTTAAAGAATACGCACAGGACAGCTAATTTAAAAATTAGCCATCTCCTCTGCTACAGAAAATAATTTAAAGCAGAGATGTTTAATAACAGAGGGAATGAGAAAAGTGGTGCAATAGCGAGAGCAAATAATGTCTTAAATACTGATGAGTTAAAAAACATAAATAAAACATTTAAAAAGAGAAATTTATATAAACTAGTGCAAATCTGATGCTTTTCTCTGAAAAAGAGAAATGCAGATATAATACAGGCCATGTCAGAAATATCTGTAGAAAGCACTTATGAAATATCAAGCAAAAAAGTGAAGAAGCAAAATAAAACCTGAAGTAATTGAAGCTGGGGATTTTCCTGCATAACAACTTTCCTTCTAATTCAAGTTTCCTTACTCCATTTGTGTAAAATGCTGGTGGTGCAGCAAGCAGGTCTCAAAATGGCATATGCTTCGGAGTCTTAAGAATGCAATAGCAGTCATTTAGACAGGAGAGATCAGAAAAAGATTTACAAAAAGGCCCAATAACCTGCCTAAGTGTGATTGGAAGCAAGGACTAAATGAGTTAGGGAGAAAAGGCCCTGCTATATCCTCTTCTGCAAATAGGAAACTTCCACTCTGGATGTCCAACACTGAGGGTGCCCTTGCTCTTCTCTCCCACTCTAGGTAAGCAGGAGCAGCGCACAACACCCTGAGCACCTGGAGCTGCACACTCTCACCCACATCCTCTGAACTGCACTCTGGACCCGGGGGCGTTCATCCTCCAACCCGAGGACTCTAGATAGGACCAGAAATCTAACAAACAGAAAACTCCATTTCAAAACCCACACTCATAACAAATCCAGACAATAAAATAATATTTTAAAATCACATTTAATAATACTTTTATAATTAATTACTGGTTCTCTTACCTCTCATATTCTAAATGAATTGTAAAATTATTTTGACTACATACCACTAGGTTTCCAATCACCATGACCATCATGAAAACAATAAGGCACATGGCTTGGCCTGCAACCTCCATGCAGTCCCACATGGTTTCAATCCATTCCCCACACAGCACTCGGAATACAATCAGGAAAGAGTGGAAAAAGTCGTGCATGTGCCAGCGAGGCAGTTCACAGTCACTGGAGATCTTGCAGACGCATTCCTTGTAGCTCTTCCCAAAGAGCTGCATCCCAACCACAGCGAAAATGAACACAATGATGGCCAGCACCAGGGTCAGGTTCCCCAGAGCCCCCACTGAGTTGCCAATAATCTTAATCAGCATATTTAAAGTTGGCCAAGATTTTGCCAATTTGAAAACTCGCAACTGGAAAAAAAAAAAAACAGGGATTATTTGCAGTAGTTACAAAAATGTTATAGAGGTAGCAGTGTGTTGCAAACTAGTGACTCTCAGCAAGAGCAAAAAGAAAAACTTCACAGGATTCCAACAACCGTAACTTCCATAGCATTTCATGAAACCCACACTTTTAAAATGTAATAAATTTTAGACTTTGCTTTTTTTTCCCCTGTGGTTTTTTTTGTAGCGTTTTGCTTGTTTGTTTTAGTATATTTATGCTTTTCCACATGAAAGAAACAGCACACTAGTTGTATTTGTTCAGACAGTGGATTCTGAATACATACACTTTGGATATTACATGTAGAAACAAATTTAAAATATTTTTCTAATAAAATAAAGATTTTTGGTTTTTTTTTGCTAAGGGGAAAAGAAAAATCAATCTTCTTAAAATTTATTAAACCCATGAATATTTTAATTCCTACATTTTAAAAGAACACCTCTAGCCTTTTTGCTATTTCCAGACATGAAAGCCAACAAGACTACAAAGTTTTCTACTTCTCAATATACTCTAAAATAATTGTACATTTCACTAAACTTTACTCATTCATGTTTAAACAATTACAATAAAATTACAGCTCTTTCCCCTTAAAGAATAATTGCTTCTGAACAGTAAAATGACACACAGTATTCCATGATAAATAATTTTTAAAACAACCTGCAGATATACCCTGTGTCAATTACTAAAAAGTATACTAAAAGGTGTCTCATTTATATGAACAGAGTTGAAATACAAACATAATTCATTAATTAATGCAGATGTACTATTTACCAATCGGAATGACCGGAGAACGGATAATCCATCCACGTTTGACAAAAAAAGCTCCACCAAACTAAGAGTAACTATAAAACTATCAAAAATATTCCAGCCAACTTGGAAATAATTAAAAGGATGCATGGCAATTATCTTGAGAACCATTTCTGCTGCAAAAATTCCAGTAAAAACCTGAAGAAAAAAACATTACTGTTACTTTATGGATGAATATGAAGAAGCTGAACCCACTGATAAAGAACAACTGAAGTAAAAAGTAGCACCTCTCTTACAGCAGGATGTCACTAAGTAAAATTATCACAAGCTGAACCCCAGAGAGAAGGTAAGTAGCGACATCAAAAAGAGCTGCAGCATAAATACGTAAGATCAGTTAAAGCTAAGGTACATTCAGTATCTACTGAAGAATAAGCTACTCCTAACAGGCTTCAGTTTGCTCCTTTTATCTGCCATCTATCTAATTAAATCTAATTAAAGAAACTTTCCCCAGCAAGATAATGCACCTGCTCTTGTCAGAATGGAAGCTGCTTTAACAAAGGTGTGTGGGAAAACATGAATTGGTCATAAATTGGAGTGATGTACCATTAACGAAGTCTATAGAACAACTCATAAGTAAGCTCATCTTCTCTAACGGCCAAAAAAAAGCTCAATTATGCCAAAGCTTGCGTAAGTAAAACTCCTTTCTGACTCTGAATGCCTCTGACATCTTCTGAAGCAGCAGGCAAACCACACCTCTGAAATAAATTCATTGTATTTACTATAGATGTATGATGACCAGTATCTACAAAACTACATAAATTACTATCTTTTATGAGAAAGATCAAAAAAAATTCAAAAAAGTCAGGAGCATTTTACAGTCTCTAAAATGCAGAGCTACAGAGTCCAAAAAGGAAGACAGCAACTGCTGAAACCATACCAGTGTCATAGTGGCATACTGGCTGACTGGGAGCCCACACAAATTCCTGGCATGAAGGAACACTCACACATACTAAACTACTCCATTACATAGGAAAGGTAGGAATGGGAGTTTTCTGGGTTAAACATACAAACATAATCACAAGACAGCTCTCTGAAAGAGTTACTGATCCTCATCTATTTGTCTGCCTTATCTTTTCCTCAAAGGCATCCTGCATGTATTTTAAACAGCAACATGAGATACTTCTCTTGTACAGATAAGGATCTCTAATTCCAGGTTAAGGTGAAAAAAGTGAAATATATCCATATTGGATAAAAAAAATCAGCATATAATTTAAATGCTGATACTTTGACTCTTTAAGTCTGAGTATGTTACCAACATGTATTAGAATTTCACATATTCCAATAACCAAATTGTTTTATTATTTTCCTAGATCATAATCACCAGAATAACCACTTAGAATAAGCATAGGTTAAGAAGTATAACATACCTGTATTATTGCTTTTATAAACCAAAATAAAGCTACCTCACCAAACCCAACTCACACATTGTGTCCACTAAGGAACAAAACTCAGCTGTACCAACAGATACTCTTAGAATAAGTCACACATTCTTTGCCTTCCAAATTGTTATGGTCCAATCAAATAAATGGTCTTCAAGAAAATCAACACATAGTTATAGCAGTGAAAAATAATAATACAAATTAGCATTCAGCTGTTTTTGTGTTGTCAATGGTACTTACACTAAAAAGGATCTAACTCGACTCCTACTTATTTTTTGCAATACTAAACAAAACCATGTCAGATTTCTTTCAGTTTCATATAATTCAAACTCTGGCTTTTGGAAACTCTATTGAAGAAGTTGTAATACAGAAGACAAAATTTAAGATGCAACACCTCTCAAATACTCTCATATACAACATATTCCAAATGGTATTTTAGACTATTTTTAGTACAATTAAACCTTTAACATTTATTTTATGGGATGACAAAAACTATAAAAGCAATTCTATTCAAAGAGAAATCAGGTTCCACCAGTATAAAATTTTATAGATTGAAGGACTTACCAGATTTCCTACTGTAAGTACAGTCTCAAACTGCTTAGTCATTGGATAATGTTCCATGGCCATAAATAGTGTGTTTAAAACTATGCAAACAGTGACAGCCAGATCAACAAATGGATCCATTACAATAAATTCAACTATACTCTTCACTTTTAACCAGGGCTCACAACACTCCCAAATCAAGAAAGTATGGGCAAACTTATCCCAGCAAGGTGGACATTTTTGTCTGGATCCTTCAAGTTCTGGAGAAAAAGAGAAATTTACAGTGAACAAGTTTTGGAGAATGTGAAGGTAATTTTTTATCTGGTTTTTTAAGTTTTAAACTTTATAATACCTGGAACCATTAAGGACACTTGGGGGAACATCCTCAGATTTCCAGGAACTTAATTTATTGTTTCTGACACAAAAGCTTTTAGAAGACTTACAGAAAAACCTCAGGTGTTCTGAGCAAGTACTTTAAAAACATGTCTATTTTTAATAACATATGATCTTGTTTAAAAAAACAAAAAAAAGCCATAAGAACTATGCTTAAGATTAGGGATCTTTTTTTCAATAAAGCTTTCAACTACAAAGTCCTTTTAAATGCCTAAGTACTTATTTTCAGGAAAAAATAACATTAATTTTAGCCTTAAAAGTATTTTGAAAATTATTCAAGCTTTTTTTATTATTTTCTCTAGTAGTCATTCCACTGTTCAAAGCAATCCTTGGACAAATTTTCTTCTCCTTATTAACTAAAGCCAGGCCTGGAATTTTCTCTAATATTTATATGGAACGGTTAGTGGCAAATGTATCACAAGGCATTTCTTCCAATAACTGCATTGCTAAGCATGAATAACAAGCATAAAACACACACATAGTACCCATTTTAATTACAATGAGTTTTCTACATCAGCCTGCTTACTTGCTTCCTTTCTTTTTTCACTACGCACATGCATTTTGTTTCCTGTTATTCAGTTCATATATTTGCAATGACTACATATTTTTTTTTCTTCTCTATTTGTATTGTGGTATAATACCTTCAAGCAATCTAAGACTATGTCAAGAAACTTCAAGTGTCTGCAGCTACAACATACCTTCCATTCTGTTTGTGATAACATCAGCTAGACTCATGGCCCTTTCCCTTAAATCAGGATCCTCCAGCAACTCCATTGGTATTTGATACGAACTTGTACGTCTGTTTTTTATTCCTATTTCTGTGGTAGTGCTCTAAAAAAAAAAAAAAAAAAAAGGTGTGTAAATTAAATTCAACTTTAGAAATACTAGAAACACTGTGGATTTTTTTTAATTACTGTTTTCATTATATACATCCTAATACAATTAATACTTTTAAAATGTTAAGAAAAACATTTGAAAACTTAGTTCCTGTACTTCCACTGCATTATACTCAAATAACATTACTCCACTTTAGACACCAATAAATTTTGGAGGGGGCTACAGCCAAGAAAACAAAGGAAGACTTGCAGAACTTGTGTAAAAACAATTCCCAGTTCCATACTTGCTCTACCAATATTTCCATTCTAAACTAGTTCATTCACAAGACCCTTCTAACAAGGGAATAATGCTAGGAAGATTCTGCAGTTGGATTTGTGCAGCAACTATTCCATAAAATAGTTTTAAAGATCAGTTTTGATCTCTGTACCCATTCAAAACTTATTTAAATTATATTTTCTAAATTCAATCATTATCAACTCTGACTTATTTTATGAATTTCAACTGAAGTAACAGCATAGGTCTGACTTCATTGATCCCAAAACTAAATACTTCTTTTTCATTATTTAATTTTAAAAAATAAAAGTTGTGTTCTAACTATAGTCTTGAGCACATCTCAGTTATGAAGAATTTTTGAATGCACAAGGATGGGTACACTTTTTTTCAATCCATTAAATAAATGAATTAAAATAAGCGTATAATAAACTGCAAGAAAATTATAACTGCAAGGCATCTGGCTGATAACTGCAAGGAAGCTGGCTCATGTACTTTCAGGTGCTATGACGCACAGAAATTGACCAAAAAAATTTAGTAAAATTATATTTTTAGGAAAAAACATGCAGATGTCTCTGCTCCATTCCCAAAGCAGACTGAGGGAAAAGGAAAAACAGAGCAGAATTAAAATGTTTTGTTGGTTTGGGGTTTTTGGTTTTTTTTTAATTATACCCTGATCCTAGGCAGTGAGCAACTCAGTCTTTGAAACCCAGGAGGAAAAAATGCTTTCAGGACTTTTAAGGTGTCAACATAATTTTTAAGACTATGCTATATTTGCACAATACCAAATGTATGAACAAATGCATATTACTTACTGCTTATTTACTGCAGAATAATGCATATTACTGACTTTTCTTTACTAAGAAAAATACACTTAAAAGGAGACTAAAACCACAAAGAAAAAAATAATTTAAATAATCTAATAATGTACAGGAAGCTTAGAGTTGGACATCCTATTTTGCACTCAAAAGCAGATTTAACAATGGAACATTACTAATCTGATTCATTAAGCAGATGTATGTGTATCTTTTCTGTGCAGGTATGTAAAACTTACTGCTTTATTCTCTTTCATGCTTTAGCCTCTCACTTTTGACTAAATCACTTCAAACACATTTCAACACAGTAAGATTCCAAAAGCATTCACAACTTCCCATCTATTTTCAAAGCAATAATTTTTGAAACATTGTCCATGCAATAAAGAAAGGACATGAAACCTGGAGTAATTTTAAACTTTCTTACATTGCCATCAGTCGATGGTTTATCTATTATCACCTCTGGCAGAAGTTGTCCAGTAGGAGACAACAGACCTGGTGGTCCATCCACCAAGGAAACCACTCCATTGCAATCCACAGCGCTGTGCATCTTCCCATTCACTGGGAAGACTGTCAGCCTTCTGGATGACCCACTGGCCTGGCTGATGTTGCTGCTGCGCCGCTCTGCGTGCCTGCGCGGCAGAAACAGAGACTCTCTCCTGCTCGAGTTATCCTCACACGTGCTGTGCTCATCGTCAGCAAACTCATTTTCTGAGCCTCTCTCTCGTCCGTCATCTCTAAAATTGAACAGACTTGTTCTGCTACTAGGCCTGGGAGAAAACAGGGAGCCATGAACACTCAGCAAAGACTGCAAAGGAAACATAAAAAACGACCGTCTGAAGATTATAAGCATACAAAATTCATGTCTATGTACAAGAAAAACAATAATAATTTATATTCCCCTGGAATTTTTCAGTGTTATCCTTAATACACTGCCTCAGGCTGGTCTCAAAGATGCATTACAGATGAAAGTCAACTGAATGGGTAAATTTACAGTGTACCTAAAACAATGACTACAGAGAAAAAAAATAACCTATATAAGGCCATAGTTGTTTCATGCTCTAAAGAGAAAAACCAAGCTTTACATAAACTCTCAATGATCCACAAAGATCATGCATTATGTTAAAAGCTACCAATACCTTTAGTCTTCTACATTCATACATTATACTTAATTATTCCTTTTATGAATTAAGAAGGCATTTCTATCTCAGATTAACTAGGAAAATGCAATACTGCTGTGCACGTTAAGGTCCTAAATAATAAAATGAGAGGCAACAAAACACTTTTTGAAAGTACACTTGAGAAATACAGTTGGTATTTAAGAGAATGCTACATTATTTTTCCTTTGTTGTCTTACATTGCAAAGTTGCAGTGAAGTTTGTTATATATGACAATAATCTCACAAGTTCCAAAAATTACAATTGCATTATTCACAGTACCTGGCGGGGTGATATAAATGGCTTCCCATAAGTTAGTCTGTTCCCATCAAAAGAAAAACGGAAACCTTTGCTTTTGATACTGCCATCTGATTCAGATTTTGGAAGCTTTTCATCCTTCATGTCATCCTCTTCTCCAGAGAGCTCTCTCTGCCTCCTTTTCTTCCTTCTATTTCTCCTTTCTTTGTCACTTTTTGAATTAAGCTTGGATGCATCTGAAGAACTATCTGAGGGTGCAGCATTCCCACTTTCACAGCTGTACTCAGTCATCTCTGCTGCAGCTGCTGCTATTGCCTGCCACAGCAATTATTTAACAAGATGCTTTATAAATCACATCATTTTAAAAGAAAGATAATCTTATTCTTAAGATTTGTATCAAATTACTTCTAGCAAACAGTGCAGCTGGATTTGTGCAAAGCTACAAATGAAATTCTGTAGTATGAATGGAATTTGAATGGAGTTCTACTTAGCACCCATGTCATGGAGTCAGCCCACATTGTCTACAGTCACAAAGTTCATTAGAAAATATTTGAAAATTATTAAATTTATTAATTATAGTGAATGCAACAGAAAGCAATAGAGCCAAACAGAGTAATACTTCCGCCTGTATTAATTTAGTAAACTAATCCTAGTTTTATTGTAAATTTTATTGTAATCCTAGCTTTTATTGTCAGTACCTTCCTTAAGCTGCTTCCAGTCTTTGATTCGCTAGTAGCAGCACAAGTAGCAAAAATGAATCAGAAATTTATAGATGAAAATATTCTACACTCTAATCAAGAGTTGAAAAGTATTGAAATTATTTCTAAGATGAGAATTTGGAAAATCATCATGACAGTTTACAAGCTACTACCCCAAGTAACAGAGATTCATTTAAAACTATTATTCTGATTTGGATGCTACTCTTTGTTCTCAGTTCAGAAATTCATTAACACTTTAGATATTATATACTTTAAAAACAATAAAGAGCATAGAAAAACCAGTCTACAGTATTTGCAAGTTATGTTAAAGAATGGATTTTTTTAATATGTAAATTTAATTATTGGGTTTGTTTTAACAAAAAGCAGGCAAAGGAACACACTAAGGCCCAGATTCTTGGTAGAAAATACCTGAGCTTCTTCTTGCTGCTTCCGCAGTTGTTCAAGCTTCAGTTTAAAGTCTGCCTCCCTCTGCTCTGCTTCAACAAGAGTTGCTTGATTTTGTTCTTCATAGGCCATGGCAACCACAGCCAAGATCAAGTTAATCAAATAGAAGGAACCCAGAAAAATCACCACAACAAAAAATATCATGTATGATTTGCCAACAGCTCGTAGTGTCTATAGGAGGAGAAGAGAAATCCAGCTGGTGAAGAAATGTATCACTTCTGCAGTTCCTAAGCATTAATGACTTTGAAAAGTTCAGAACTTAGTTGGTTTTCCTTCTGTAGTAAAATCACAAACATTTTCTGAATTACAAAGTAATTGTAATTCAGAAACAAATATAAAGGGAGCATTCTTGAAGGTGAAAACCGTGTCTAAGGATCTTGCTGCTTTGTGACAAACCTCCTTCAATGCCTAATAATCTT